TAATTTTTGTTATAGTAATAGTTAAAGCATTACTTTAAACAAAGAAATAAATAATAATGACATATTAAATAAATAAGTACATAAAATAAATAATAAATAAATCAAATCAATAATAAGTAAATATAAATGTAGATTTGTTTACAATTTTACTACACCATTGCATCGCATTGCCAACCTCATTTGAATGAAAATACGTTCCACTTTTATCTTTTACATACATTCCACATTGAACCTGAAAGTGAACCAGATCAATTGCTGGTTCACCCCATTGTTTTTGTTTTGCATGTAAAATTGAGCGGTTCGTGTTTGCTGAAACGAAGCTAATAACAATATTGTGCACATATATAAATTGTTTACAAAATATAACTGTACTTGAAATTACAAGAGCAATTGATTTTTCAGTTACCGATCATTTTTGAAAATAAAATGTTAGAAAATAACACAATTTTACAATTTTATTTGTGTCTTAACATTAACAGTAAATGGTACGTCCGTTACTGATCGTGCAATTTTAAACGGCTTCGCAGACTTTAAATCATACTTTAAGAGTATATTTCTATAACCTAGTCGATAGCTTATTGATTTTAATATGGCCTAATATGGGTTTTAATATGGACTATAATAATGAATTTTTATAAAAACTTGCTTTAAAAAATATTGGTGTGAAGAAAGAATTGGAATCGAACGTTCTACAACTTTTCCTTTAGTCAGTTTTTCCAGTAAATATATATGCATTTATAAATACTATTTTTAGTCTTATAATCTAATTTACGGGATGTTGCATGAAACTGATTGCAACCCGGGACACAAATCTTGGAAAGAGGTACAATTATTTGTATTTTAGCAACTTTCTTTGTATGAATTATATATGTTTTTATTTAAAATTTATATATTCACATTAAGACAAATATTTTAAGCAATTGAGATAACATGTTAGTTTAATAGAAAGGTTGAAGACATCGGGTGAGTGATTCCGAATGAATTCGACCACACCAACTGACCTACATCAAAAATATTTGGCGGCAAAGATTGCACCATGTCAATCGGATTAGTTGTTCCCTTGACCATAGAAGTTTTACTTAGTTTATACTAATTGGCAATAT